AATGCTCTGTTTCTGAATGGAAAAATGAGTAGCTACGGAGCAAATTAAATGAGGTATTTCTCAATTGAGTCTTTTTCAAAACTTCCTTCCTAATTGTATTTGGTACTTCACAAATAAGGAAATTGTCAATTTTGTCACTTACAACATTGTCTTCTCAATTATATTTTCAAGATATAGATATTTTCAATCAAGTCCACCCCAAGTAAAACTATCATAAGTAATGGTCCCTCACATATGAGTACATCTGAATTTGATAGAAAAAAGAGATGTTCAATAATAAATAGGTTTATGTAAAGAACCAATTGAGAAATGATCATAACTGAGAAACACTTTATGCACGAGGTGAGGGTGCTGAATTGAAAAATAAACAAGGAGATGGATTTGACACAGTGATTATATAACAGTATTAATCTTGTACCACTGTACAATAACTTCCTTCGGGGTTGCTTCATTTAAAACGGGGTGTAATGCTTTCATTTAATGAGTTATATTAGGAAATAGCAGAAACATGGACTCGATAAATTATAAAACATTTTAAGTAAAATATAATCTGAACTCCGGTGCCTCAATCAATCTTTTATTTAAAAAAAAAAAAGTTATTATCAAGAAGGTTGCGTCTGGTTCACCGAATACTGCCTACATGTTTTATTTAAAAAAGATAATTATCTAGGACGACCCTACCTCCTCATCACGAAACACGTTTTTTATTTAAAAAAGAAAAAAGAAAAAATAAGCCGTACCAAACGCTATCTCATTAATATTTTTAATGATTAATATAATCTTTGAACATACTTATCCTTTCTTGCATCAAAATTCCCCATTCAATATGTGACAAGGTAGATTCATTATGTGCTAATTTTTTCTGGGATTCGGTAGATACCAAGAAGAGGATGCATCATTGGGCTAGGAATAAACTTTTCCAGCCTGTGGATACGGGTGATTTGGGGTTAAGACCAGCTAAGATTTGTGAACAGAGCCTTTCTTGCCAAGTAAATCTGGCGGGTAATCTCTTCCCAAGATTCTTATTTGCTGGCCATAGTCTTAAAAGTCAAATACTTTAATTTAGATAGCCAGTCAATTATTAAACTTCCATATAACTCATCCTAGATATGGAAGGGCATTGCAGAATATGCTGATATATAGGACGAGCATCCCAATTAACCGCCACCTTTGGTGGCCTATTCAGCAGGATCTGATGCAATATTTGAATATTAAGTTTGTATCGCATCCGTTATTGCATACTCCCCCTTTGTGGAATCCAGTTTCATGGAATTCCTCCCTCATTTTTAAGATTTATCCACCAGATATAGCTCGTTCCAGTCTTGCTCAGTCTATTTCCCTCTTAAATCTTCCTGATCAAATTATCTGGTCTGGCAATAACAAGGACATCTACTAGGTTCGAGATGGAACTTACTTTGGCAAGCTGATTCTCACAATCTGGCTCCAACTGTTGATGATTTCTGGCTACTACTTTGGAGGTTGAAACTTCCTCTCAAACAATTGTTATTCATTAGGAAATTGCTGCATAAGGCCTTACATTCTGTTGATATTCTAAGGCAGCATCATCTTAACATATGAAGCCTCTGTGTATTTGGCTGTGAAGAAGAAGAGAATCTTTTACATCTTTTTTTAACTGTTCTTTTACTTGGGCTCTTTGGTTTGGAAGTTTATCCATCAGAATTTCTTTCAATTCTTCTGAGAAATTTGCTTCTTGACTAAAAGTTACCTTGGCACAATTGTGTCAATATCAATTGCAGGATGTTGCTTATAAAATTACATGTCTGCTCAATATTATCTTGAAGACACGGAATGATATTCTTCATCAAGGCAAAGTGGCCACACTCTTCTCAGTACTTTATGATGTCAAGCAAATTTGTTCCATTTCCAGGTTAGCTTTTCTAAATTACCACAGCACTCAGCATTATCCAAAATAAAATTCAAATTCTCGAGGATTTTTACTTGCATCCTGATGTTCGGAACATAATTCTCTTCAAATATAGAAAAGTCCAATATCATTTTTGCCATGGAATGATTTATCATCAAGCTACATGTTATTATTTGGAGAAGCAATTTATTAGCAGGTCCAGTTTTTCATTCCAAATGCCTTAGAGCCTCAGTCTACTGGATAAAATCTGTTGGCCTATTGGACGGAATTACCAAAACTTCCATTATTTATACATTGTGTGCAGAAGCAGCCCATTCAGCTTTCAGGGACAACTCTTCTTCTTCTTCTATTACTTGGCAAGAGATCCTTGCGCTTCTCTATAATTTTAGTTCTTACGATGTTGATGTTATTTCTAAATATTTCTTTTTTAGGCTTAACTCTTGTAATGTAGGATATCTTAGTTACTTTACTTTGTAACCTTTCATTATTAATTTTATCATTTTTTTGTGTTTCAAAAAAACAAAAATTTGATCCTTCAAGTTTGTCCTCATTTTGATTTTGATCTCTCAAATTTCAAACAATAGGCTTTGGTCCCTTTAAGACAAAATAGTTCAGGTTCTTATTGAATTATAAGAATATTGTTTTAAATGAAAAGAAAATTAAGAGACCAATACATATGGCTTAAAACTTGAGAAATTAAAATTAAAATGAAAACAAATTTGAATGTCTAAAAATTGTACTCCTTTAGTTCTTAATGTAAGACCTATTTAACTAATTTGATTATATTAAGAACTAAATAAGTTAATTAATTATAAAAAATATGACATCATTTCCTTAATATCCTTCCTCGCTTTCTTATTTGGTTATGATTAAGGGAGTATAAATAAAGATAATTTAGGAAAAACTGATATATATGAGAAATAGATCTCATGTTCAAGTCTAAAATTAACTTAACAATTAAGTCCTAAATTAAGAATTGGAAGCGAATTAACCATTTTCTTTATTAAAAAAAATAGCAGAGCACTAAGTGCTGCAGCTTAGCTTAAACAAATTTAATCTTCAAAAAATGCCTTTACCTTACGTTACCTTACATCTAACTAAAAGACAAAAGTCAATGCTAGAAGGAGCCACCAAATACTACGTCATTTTTCTTTTTAACTCTTCATTGTCATCAACTCACCCTTTTAATGAAAGTTTAACTGCCAAAAGCTTGATGAGTCTTTAATAGTTGGAGAAAAACGATTGCTAAAAGATGGAGACAATTGTATTGAATGAGACTAATGCAAATGTAGAAGGTGGAATCACATTCAACCAATTACGAAGGATCAAACGTACTGATATACCAAGCTTTAAGATGTTTTCTTCACAAAGTCACACATTCAAATTCTTAGAATTATAAAAGATAAACATAACTGGATGCCCTGAAATGAAAATATTTTGTCCAAGACTCTTCAAAACAACAGAGTTGTTTAAAGTGAAAATAGAAGAGCATGATGTGGAATGGGAGGATGAACGATGCTCAGCAAAGGTACGATATGATCCCCCTGACAAATATTGTTTAGAAAAATTTATATTCAATGACCAATGAAATAGAAAATTGATTATATCGTGCGCCTATGCCAACGTCGTCTGTCTTCAAAATTTCCCTTTTTCGTGAGGCTGTAACTAATATTATGATTTGGTATTGCAGGATGGCGTTAACATGTGGAAAGATAAGTCCATCATCCATCTTATGATGTTCAGTTTGTTAATTTTAGGATTTTGTTGCTAAAGAATTTTCTCTTTTCTGAAACTGTTTGTATCTTTTACTTACTCTCTCTCTAGTTTTCTCTTGTAGCAAACATAAAAAGAAACCTTGCATTTTATTTTTAGTCTTCTATATGCCAACTTCTCTGCTCTTTAAATTATTTGTATCTTTTTGCAATGTTCGATTGTGCTTTATCACTAAAAAATAGAGTTTCTCATTGGAATTCATTTCAATACTTATTTTCCAGTTGTGGTTATTGTAACACCAACAGAACAACTTCATATATTAAGGGGTGAAACAGGGGAGCTATCTGTGCCTTGCTTCAAATTGATCATACTACTATAGCTAATGACATGGATATACGTAGAACTTAAACATAGTCTTAGTAGTCTTCTTCTTTTCCTTTCTTGATTAATTTAGGTGCTGTTAGCGATGATGTTGACACTTGAAGAATGTATGCAGACGTTGGTTCAATGATGCTTTTGTTCAGTTTTCAAATTATATATTTTAGTAGTTAAATATATGTTTAATTATTTGATAAACGAGATTCTTTTTTATCACAAACAATATTCCTCCCGGTAAATTGGCTGACGGGTGACTTGACCCTGGTGAAAACTTTACTTTAAGGCACGGTTTCTTTTACTGTGTACTACTCTGATGTGTGAAGGCTTTGAAATTGGTGTGCTGTGATTCTGAAGTTCTACATTAAGCTTCCTTGCTATGATTTTATTTGGAGGTGGAAGCGAGAACCTACTAAGGTACAAGTAACGAACTATTTAGTTGTAGTTTTACTTTGAAACTTTTTTATGATATTTCCTATCGGAATAAATATCCGGTTTGAAAGCACGTCGCAGGAGATGTTTATGGTGGTTGGCGAGATATGAAGTTTGATACTCTACGAGAGAGATCAAGGAAAAACACATTAAAAAAAAGAATTCTCAGTAATCAAAATTCTCTGTTTCTGAATGGAGAAACAGAGAAGAACAGAGTGAGTAACTTATTCTACGAGTTTTCATATGAAGTGTACGAGAAAAACAGATATCTGATGATAAATTGGTTTATTTAAAGAACAAAAATTGAGAAACACCTCACGTAGGAGATGAGGGCTGCATTGAACAATAAATAGGGAGATGGATTTTCCATAGTGATTATATAATAGTGATCTTGTACCATTACACAATAATTTCCTTCTGGGTTGCTACATTCAAAATCGATGTAATGCTTTCGTTGAATGAGTTATCATGTATAAGAACTAGCAGACACATGAATTCCCAGAAAGATTTTGACATAAAGCAATATCATATGTGTACACATGCTTCGCCAAAGCATTTTTTTTTTTTTGAATGATACAAGGCAAGTAAACCTGATTTAATAATTGGTAGCTGACATATTGGCTAGGGCCACATCCTCTTGTAGTCGTGAGAGGCACTCCTGTGGGGGTTCCATCCAGTAGACCAATTCCTCATCTATAAACTGGGCCTTTTTTGCCATCAGGTCTGCACATTGGAGTGCATTCCTTGGTGCATATTTGATGCTAATGTCCCAATCTGAGTAAATTAACTCCCGGATCTCCGTTATCTCCGTGTGCAAGGGATGATTAGCACCTCCTTCAGTTTCAATCAGCCTAATAGCTTCTATAGAATCAGTGAAGACATTTATCCTGCTGAATCCTTGCTGTTTACACATCTGCAGACCCGTTCGGAGGGCCATCAGTTCTGCTGCAGTTGGTGGGAAAACTCCTAGTCGTCTCTAAAATCCAATACGCCACCTACCTGCTGTATCTCTGACTAGTCCTCCACATGCTGCCTGCTAGCTCTGATTGACTGAACCATCTACATCGAGCCTCAAGACACCTTCAGGTGGCGGCCTCTAGACTTCCTCTCTATCCACCACAGACCCAAATATTCTATGTTGTAGTCGTCCTCTCTCCGTAGTTTCCATTAGTTGGTGGAGTATCGCGTGTCTAACTTCCTTAGCTGAGTAGCATCGACCTTCAAGAACACCTCTGCATCTGTTCTTCTAAATGAGCCAGCATGTTATGGTAAAGACCTTAGCCCACATCCACTTTGAGAAATATGTATTACCAGCTCTTTTTGAAAGGTTCTCCTTTATCCAGACCTGCAAGTTAGAACGAAAAAAACTAAAGAGAAGGTTAGGGTGTACAATATTAGTCCATACTTCTCTAACAATCTCACAGTCTCTCAGAATATGAAGTGTGTTTTCCTCACTTAAGCACTCAAAAGGAGACTCTTCACTGGTTTGAATGCCTCTCTGTTTTCAAAGTGCATTGGTAGGTAGTCTCTCTTGAATTGCTTGCCACATGAAAAATTTCATTTTCTCCGGCACCGGGAGTTTCCAGATTGCTTTCCATTGAGCTCTAGTGTCTGTGGAAGCTTTCTTGAAAACCATATTGTAAGCCGTCTTGACACTGAAATTCCCATCAGCGGCTGGGCGCCAACTAAACTTGTCTTCCTCACTGCATCTGGGGACTTTTATCTTCTCTAACATTTCGAAAATTTCTTGAGAAAAGAACTCCCTCCATCTATTTGTGTTCCAACATCCATTAGGGTGAATGAATTGGCTCACTTTCTCACCAAGAGTGATGTTTGTTATGTTTCTCTCCGCCAATTGTATTAGCGGTACATCAAGCGGTGTCCAGAGGTCCCACCAGAAATGGGTTTGATTCCCGCTTTTAATGCTCCAACCCACACCTTGATAGAATTGGTTCCACACTTTTGTGATTCTATTCCAAACTGTTGAGGCATTTTGTTTTTTGCAGACCATAGGATACATTCCTTCCCCACATCTATATTTGTTCCTCAAGCATTGCACCCACAGCGCTTCTGGTTTGGTAAGAATTCCCCAACACAGCTTCATAATGAAAGCGATGTTCTGACTTTGGAGATCTTTCAACCCTAACCCTCCATGCATCTTATCCTGCTTTATTTTGTCCCACGAGATTAGGTGCATTTTCCGCCCTGTTGGTGTCTGGTTCCATACGAATTTCCTACTAGCTTTCTCTATTTCTTTGAGGACGCCTTTGGGCAGAAGCATGGTTTGCATATAGTAACTGGGAAGGGCGGAGATGACTGACTTTATAAGAGTTGATCGTCCCGCCATTGAGAGAAGAGTACTCTTCCAGGAATTCAATCGGGCACGAATTCGCTGGATGATAGGGAGATACAAGGCTTTTGTCACCCTTTTATGTAGCAAGGGAATCCTTAGATACTTCCCTAAGTCAGCTGTAATCCCCACTCCCAAGTTGTGGCTGAGCTCTCTAGCTCTATTGAAACAGACATTTCTTGAAAAGTAGACGTTAGACTTGCTAAGACTGACTTTATGCCCCGACACAGCACAGAAAAGACTCATAATGCTACTCATCAATTCAGCTTGTTCAGTAGAAGCTTCACCAAACAACAACAAATCATCCGCAAAGAAAAGATGGGACAGAATAGGTCCTGTAGAAGTGAGGCGCAGTCCTTTCCATCTTCCAGTCTCGACCGCTCTATTAATCATTTGGCTTAGTCTTTCCATACAAAGTACAAACAGGTAAGGGCTAAGAGGGTCCCCTTGTCTCACACTTCGTGACGGGAGAAAAGTGTGAGAGCACTCCCCATTCCAGAGCACTTGCATGGTCGTAGAGGAGATACATGCCATGATCAGATTCACAATAGGTTCTTCTAGTCCAATACTTTGAAGAGTTTCTCTGATGAAGTCCCAATCCAATCGGTCGTAGGCCTTTTCCATATCAATCTTGACTGCTACAAATCCTTTGTGTCCTTTCTTGGTTCTCATGGTGTGGATTGCCTCTTGCGTAATAATAACATTGTCACTACTCTGCCTGCTTGAAATGAAGCTGCACTGTTGGGGAAGTACCAAATACTGCATTGCCTTCCTCATTCGATTTGCAAGAATCTTTGTGACAATCTTAAAGATTACATTGCATAGTGAAATCGGCCGAAAGTCCTTGAGAGTGGTAGGATGGTCCACTTTAGGAATCAACGCTATGTTAGTTTGGTTGACCTCCTTGATTTTATTCGGATTTAACCAAACCTCCTTGATAAAAGAGCAGACCGCAGCACCAATATGTTGCCATTGTGATTGAAAGAAGTGGCCTTGAAGCCCATCTGGTCCAGGTGCTTTGAAAGCCCCCATGACAAACGCTGCATTCTTAATCTCCAGGTCTGTTACTTCACTATGGATACTCAGATGGTCACTAGTTGCAAGTTGGGGAAATTCAGTATCCCAATTATACCTACCTGTTACAGCATTGTCCTTGGTGTAGAGTTTTTTGAAAAAATCACTAGCCATCTTTTTCAACTCTTCTTGGTTAGATATCCAATTTCCATGGGCATCCTGTATAGCTTCCACCCTCTGTTTCCTTCTTTTGATTTTGGTAGAGGCATGAAAGAATTTTGTATTTCTATCTCCCCATTGCAACCATTGGCACCTAGACTTCTGGTACCAAATAAGCTCTTCTTGTGTTGTGAGTTTGTTGTATTCCCTCCATAATTGCTTCTCTAATTTAAAGAGGCCTGAAGAGATTTTGTCACGCCTTGCTCGATCAATTCCTTCTAGCCGCTTCATTACCTCCTGCTTCTTCTTTGGGATACTGCCCAGATTCTCCTCATTCCACTTTGTGACTTTTTCTGTGAAAGTGGCAGCTCCATCACACCAAGTTTTGTCCCCTCAGGAGTCTTGTACCACATTTTAGAAGCTGTCTTCGAGGGCCCACGCTGCATGATATTTAAACTTTCGTGTGGTTCTTCGTGGAACTCCCTGTTCTTGGACTGTTTTGATCACAACTACTCTGTGATCAGACTTCAATTTTAATTGGTGGCAGCATTTACTATTTGGAAATTCGGTCTCCCAGCAAAGGTTTCCAAAAGCCCAATCTAACCTCTCTTTCACATTTCTTTTTTCCCAAGTGAAGTGCTCACCCAAAACTAGAAGTTCAAGAAGCCCCACTAAATTAATACACTTTGCAAAGCTTTCCATTGCACCCAGTTGAGGTGGAGAGCCGCCTATTTTATCGGAGGGAGCTAGGTAAGTGTTAAAGTCTCTAACCACTAGCTAAGCCTTTGAGACTGAATCAGCAATTTCTTTAATGGAGGCCCAGAGAGAAGCCCTTCTAATGCGCGAAGGTTCCCCATATACAAACGTAGTCAGGAAGTCTTCTCCAGTATCCTTATTGGTGATCTGGCAATGTATCAACTGGGTTGTAGAGCAGATATAATTAATAGTGCACTGACTCTCGTCCCACAGAACCCAGATGCCACCAGCAAAACCCGTCGCCTCTAAACGAAGCCAATTATTGAACCCAAGATGGCGGACAACATTATCAGCTCTCTCACCACTGATTCTTGTTTCCAGGAGACAAAGCACGTCAATTCTGTAGATTTTAACTATGTGTTTGACGGTGCTAGGAAAATTCCTATTTCCGCACCCCTACAATTCCATGCAGCAACTATCATTTTTAATAAAAGGATAAAGAAGCAGAGGTACTTACTAGTCAACTGACTCTCCATCTATCCACGTAGGCTCAGGTGGCTCCTCTACAATCTGGTCTTCATTCCTTTTATTCACCACAAAGGGTCCCTCTATCTCTGTTTTCCCAGCCAAGTTCCCTATTTCTGTTTCTGGGTCATCAGACACATTCCGGCTGCAGTAAGGAGTTGTGATTGGTTGGGCGTTTTGGATATTTCCATTATCTTCAGCCACAATAGCCTGTCCGCTTGTCCTCTATAATAAGCCCAGAACGGGCCTTACTTCATGGGAGCCCACTTCCTTCAGGTGTCCACTCACCACCGTGTGTGGTCCCTTTGCTTGATTCTGTTTCCCTCCTTCAAGCCTCTTTTCTGTTTGCCCAGCATTGGTTTGGGCCTTCCCCATATTTTTCTGCCCATTAATTTTAGATCCTCTATTTTCATTCCCTTTAAATCCCACGCTTGGCGCTTCTTTTTGTACTTCTCTCTTACTTTCCCTTTTTTTCGCAACTCTTGTAGTTGCTCCCTGCCCTGCTCCAGATCTCCTTTCTCCATTTGGGGTTTGATTGTGGTCACCAGAAATCATGGGTTCAGAGCTGGCTTTCCCGCCGTCAGTAAACTCTTCTGACATTAGATCATGTTCTTCCATATTTGCCAGTACCTCAAAGCTCGTCTGCAGCCCGCTACTTCTGCTCTGTCTGATATACTTTTGTCCTTTTTCTTGATTAATTCTGCTTATTTTCAGCTCTTCCTTCTTCAAGTTACGCGCTCTGTTACCCCTTGCAATCATCCATGCGCCAAACTCTTCCTCCACTACAGGACTTTTCTTCTCCGGCACCGGCACCGATGAGGATGATGGTTTATTATTTTGCGTTGGTTCTACATAACTCCAGGAGCAGCTCTCTTTTTTGTGCCCGTAGCGCCCACAGGCAAAGCAAATTAAGTTTAGCCCTTCATATTCAACATGGAAGAGCCTGTTCGCAGCCATTACTCTGGGTACCAACCTTTTTTGCAGATCCAGCTCCACGCATATCCTCGTGTAGCGACCCCTTTCCACTTTTGAGTCTTCTGCCGTTGACTGGGTTAATGTGTTCATATCGACTCTAAGTGTTTTGCCTATTTGGTCTCCCAGTCTGGATATGAACGTCTTGTTATAGCATTGCAGGGGCACATGTGGAATACGGACCCAGGTGATGATTCTGCCAAGTGGGTTACAAAATGGGTCAAATTCCGGTTGCTAGCGTTGTACCAGGATACACTGTTGCTTCACTACCCATGGTCCCTCATACAGAATCTTTTTATAGAGTTCCGTCCAACCTTCCTTTTTGTGGAGCTTAACTACAAAGTAGTTATTTGGTATGTCAATAAAGTCAAAATTCGGTGTTGCCCAAATTTTCATTAGATGGTTTTTCAAGGTGTAGACATTATATTTCCTCCCCAGTACTGTAACAATAAGTGAAGAATTCCATGGTCGACACCATTCACTGTACTCCTCTGGCATGATCGGCACAACTGGTATTTGGTTCATGAGTGCTTTCAGTTCATCCGAGAATTCTGGTAGCTCCCATTCTTTACTCATAACGTCGGAGAGCAACTCGTCTTCCTCCATAGAGCTTCCTTGATTGGCTATTCCTTTAAATCCCAATAGCGAATCTCGGTATGACACCTGAGGGCCTTTTGGTCCTTCTCCAGTACTCTTTGTCCCTGCATCATGTTCCATTTCTCCCGCCTTCCCAGCAGCATCATCTTCCTTTTGTGAATCCTGCATCACTACATCACAGATGGGTGGTAGTGCCAGCACTTGCTTTGTTTTCTTCTTGCTTCCACAAACAAGAGCATCAGACAGTCGGTCCAGAGGAACTTTCCGGTGGGAGATGTCTTCCATTTTCCACGGCTCGCAATTCAAGAGAGAGCGTTTTTTCAAACTCTGTCCTTGAAGCACGTTCTCTTCCTTCCCAAATTCTAGTTTATGGAAATCCAATATGTATGCCTTAATATTTATGCCTTAATTGCCGATGAGTGATAGGCTCTACTATTGTCTCATGAATTTTTCAAGCGTTCTTGCTTTGTTTTGCTCAACTTTTCTAGGGCCACACTTCACCGATGCAATGAGATATTCTTGACTTTCATAACAGCCCAACAAAAGAAAGGAAAAGAAGCAGCCTCTTCTTCTTATACTACCTCCTACCTCCCCTGCTTTCTCCTAACTCATTTTATTTTTCATATTTATCTATTTTCTTAAAGTAATTCATGTGATAATTACACATATTAAAAGTTTTTTCTCATAATAATTCTAACTAATACATATTAATATCAAAAAAATTATAAAAAAGATAACACCATTTTATTATAAATAATTAACTTAACAAATTTTCTTAATTTAGTTAAATTAATCAACTAACTATTATATTAAGAATCGAGGTAGTATTTAAAATAACAGTGCATGCGGCACTCTTGTTTTATTGATTTTACAAGTCCTCTATTTGCTAACTAAACTTTTCTTTTGTTCTTTTTTTGTTTTTTCCCCTTCGTTCTGACTTTCAGTTGGTGTAAACTTCTCTATTCATTCTCTTCAATTCTTGATATTGACTTCCAAAGCAAAAGAAAGAAAGAGAGCTCACTTACATAAATATCAGTGTCCATCTCAAAGGACGTGGGAAACAAATTAAATTTGCTAGCATCATTATATTGCCACATATATATCTTTTCTATTATTCGTTTTAATTGGCGCCATTACTCTTCTGCTGAAAAGATTTAGGATTATAGGGTAAATGTGGTTGGGAGACAGCTTGGATATTTGATTTTCTCCGGTGGGAAACAATGAGGGCCTGAAGAAGAAAGTGAAGGACTGGAGGATGAACAAACCAGTGCGCAGCATTCAATTGAAGTCAAAGTTGAGAGTTGGATGAGATGACAAGGCATATATATCTAAAGCCAAAAGGTGTATTCAAATTAATTATTTATGCTCATTTTGTCTCTTGTTCTAACTTGTTACAATACTTCAGACTTATGCTATGAAAATCAATTTCACTAGAATTACTTTGTTGATTGTTCTTTGAAAAAAGGGGGGGAAAAAGAGTTACTTACTTCGCTTAGGATCCTATTTTGCGGCTTTTTATTCTTTTAATTAATATAATGTTAATAAACTTGACAATTTACTTTCCCCATAGTTATAGCTTTAGAATTTCTTTTGCTTAACCCGAATATTTTTGTTTTTTTCAATAGAATCATTCTTTTCAATATTTAAGACGCTTAGATATATCAGGAAACAAATTCCAAAGAATGCTTCATCTTGTATAGATGGTATGGTGTTGGAAGTATTCGATCCAATGTTTTAAAAGCCGGACCGGAAATCAAACCGGAAAGATCAACGGGTCATGGTTCAATCGGTCGGATCGGTTGGACCGTTCGGTTAGACCGGTGATGCAATAATTAATTTAAAACAATATTATATACATATAATTAGTATATATGAAAAATATCAAATTATTAAATAATTTAGAAATGCATTTAAATAATCTAAAATTATAATAAAATCATTGAAAATGGACTAAAACCTTATATATTTAAATTTATGTATGTTTAAAATATTTAATGATATTACAAATTATCAATTTATTCAAATCAAAATATTTTTTTAAAAGATAGACCAAATATCGAAATAAAAAGACTAGCGACTCACGATTTTAACACCACAATATATGAAATTTTCAATGAAATAATACTATATGGTTATAAATAGTCTAAAAATATATTAGGATATTTAAGGGGATCAATTTTTTTATTTTTCTTCTATTTTTTAAAATTTTTTTAGTATTTTTCAGTCAGGCTAAAAAACCGTCCGGTTTTCTGAAAACCGTTCCGGTTTCCGGTCCAACTCCGGTTTCCGGCTTAAGAACGGCTCAACTCCGGTCCAATCCGGCTCAACTATGTGAACGGTTTTTTGGTCCAAACCGAGCCGTTAACGAGTCCGGGTGACGGTTCAATCGGTCCGACCGTCCGGTTCGGTCCGGTTCTTTAATCATTGATTCGATCTATACATCTGAATTAAAACGAGAAATTTTCCTTTTTTTGGGTTACTGAATTAAAATGAGAAGTTGATTAAGAATATGTTTATATTGGATGATTAATTAATTACTGGGTTGATTTTTCTCTCGGACGCAAAAAAAAAAAGTGCTAATAATACGAAAATAAAAATTGTAATAATACAGTTACCATTAATTAAATCATAAAAATTCTAACAATGCTAAGACGTAGTGCATGTTGATTATTTATGTTCTTAAACAGCTCATCGAAGTTATTTTATTTTTATCTTATTTCCTCTTAATAGGCGTGAATTCCAAAATTAGAGATGTTGGAATTATCCAATTTAAACAGCTCAATTCCTTTTTGACCCAAAAAAAAAAAAACAGCTCAATTCCTCATTCATAGTGCAAAACTGTGACTTTCACGCGCTCAAGTCCTTAAGCAAGAATCTGTTGCCCGCTCCTACCTTTGCAGACGAGGATACTCCCAGCGTCCAAACTGCAGCCGTTGAGATTAATCTAAGAGGTCATAATGTGCCACATCATGATGCTATTGAAAATAAAAAAATTACCAGCTTTGAAATATTTTTTAGGAAAAATCGCAAAAGAAACCTTGAAATTATAAAATTACAAAAAATAAACACTTAATAAAATTATTGTCAAAAAACGGTTCTTAAATATGAATTATAAAATGTTGGGAAAAAAAATCAAAATACCCTCTTCTTCTCTTTTTTCCAATCTCATTCTCTTCTTCTCTTTGCTCCTCTTCTCTTACCTCTTCCTTCTCCTACTCTTTCTTCTCTTCCTTACCACCCATCAACGCTCATGATTTTTTTTTTCCTTTTACCATCTATGTTCTTGTATTTTGAATTTTTTTTATCGCTAAGGATATAAACCCGCTTAAAAACTTGTTATGAATATGTTGGTTTATATTCGTTCTTACTGTAATAGTGGAGTTGAAGGTGTTTTACATATTTGAAGGGACTGTGAGTATGCTGGGAGCTCGTGGCAGCAGGGAGTGCATCCTAGACACTATTCTTCTTCTCCCTTTTGTTTTTTTTTTTTTCTCGCTGCTCAACAACGTCACTGGATTGCCATGAATTTAAAAAGACTCGGAATTAATGTAGATGGGCCATGGCATTTGTTTTGGGGAGTGGCTGGAAGTTAGAGACTTCAAGGAATAATAGTACATCTGGTCAATGTAAAAATCAGTTAACAAATTTAAATAAATTAATAAAATTAGTTAAGTTATTAATTTGTAATAAATAAGTGTTATCTTTTTTAAAATATTTTTGTTAATTAAGTATATTGATTAGAACTACTATTATTATAAGAAATATCTAGAGAAAAATAAAAAAATATGAGAGACAAAATGAATTGAGGTCTTATATTTAGAATTAAAATAAAAGTCAAACAATATTTTATATTAAAAATTCAAGGTATTAGTATGTTTCATGACAGTTTTGTTAAGCCTTCGAACACAAACTTGGTGATTATGCAATCATGGAGGGGTTCAACAAATGAATTACTGTAAAATGCTCAAATTGCAAATCATAATTTACTTCTAAAAACATCCGCAAACATGAACAACATTGGAATAATTTGTCTTGAATTGATTTTTATATCTAAAAATCTTGAACTGAGTTGTGATTGAAGTATCAAACTATTGAGATTCTTGTTTTGCTTGAACAAAAAAAATGAAAATTGTTGCTGTCAAACACTTACTGGTTTTTTTTATTAGTGATAATATTGTTGTTATTTTTCAATAAAAACTTGTTATTGATAACTAAATTATGAAAATTAGCACTAACTCATGTTTTAGTAAAAATTGATATTATTTTCACAATTTAATTGCTATTGACAAGTCCAATATGAAAAATAACAAGTATTGAAAAGATATGCACAATAACTTATATTTTAATAGAAATTGACATTATTTTCACAATTTAGTTGCCAATGACGACAAGTCAAGTATAAGAAATAACAAGTATTGAAAAGCTATTCACAACAACTTAAGTTTAGCAGAAATTAACATTATCTCCATAATTTAATTATAAATGACAAGTTTAGT